AAGCCATCTTCCAGCACCCAGCAGAGCTGCTCAGCCTCAGGGCACCCACTCCTCCTGAGGGAGGCAAAAGCTGACAAGAGTACCATCTGGAGCCTCAGTTCAGTCTTCGCTTGTTTATTAAATATCAACTTTTCCTGCCTGATGCGCTGAAGTTCATTTTCCCTTTTCTCAAGGCTAGGGTAGACTGTCCAGGAATTTACTGCCTATTTGGCCTGGCTGGCTTGGAGCTACCCAGCTGAACCCAAAGGTGACTGCCTGGTTCTTCCTTTTGCCCCTTCCTTCTCTAATACCAAGTCCCAGGCCAGTGCTTTCCCCAGCAAATGCCAGGAGCTCACGTGAAGAGCAACTGGCCACGAGGCTGTAAGGGGAGGAGAAGAAAACGACTGCTTCTGCAGGAAGGACAGCGGTGCCTCCGGGTTCTTGGGCATCTTCACATGGTTCTGGAGAAAGGACAGGCTCAACTATGGAGCCTCTGGTAGGCAGAGGGAAGGAGACAGCTGGTGTGGCCTGGCCTTCAGACACCGCTGTCCTGGGCGGATCCACAGATGATGAACGCAAGGTTCCCAGGACTCAGTGTCGCACAGGGCCACAGCCAAGCTTTAACTGGAAAGGGCAGGCATTGCCCATTAGTCTCATCAGAGGCAACCTCAGCCGTGGACCCAGATGGAGCGAGCAGTGGTAGGCCCACACTGGTCTAGAAGGTGGCAGTGTCCAGGCCCCTGGCTCCCTGGGAGCAGGGAGGCTAAAGAAAAGCTGGAAAGGCCCTCTGGAGCAGCAGGATGGTCATAACGATAAGCCCAACACACAGCAGCAGCAGCAGCCATATAGGAACACTCCCTGCAAGGGGGGAAGGGAAGTCAGGAGGCAAAGGAGCATCACAGCCCAGAGAACAGAACCATTCTAGAAGCGGGTAGGTGGCTACAGATAAGCATCCCATTCTCCAGGAGGCAAGTTTTCGCTACAGCGAAAGCTGGGGTGGTTCCCCCACCGCACCCACCCCAGTGACTCACGTCGTGAGGGCAGCAGGTGTAGCTGGCAACGGCTATCAACAGCCACAGAAAACAGAGCAGTTTCCTGGGACCCAAGGAGCTCTGGACCACGACCCTTCTCAGGTAGAAAGGCCACATCCGTCACCACGATGCCATGGGCCTCCTTCACGTAGTACAGGCGCTGGGGACAGGAGGAAAACTAGGGAGGGAAGGCCCAACTGGGAACATTCCTTCCGGAAAACACGGCCTCTGCCCCCAGAAGACTTTCCCGCTGGGAAAAAGTCTGGGCCAGACTCCTTCTTGCACACTCAGTGCAGAAGCAGGCCTAGAATCCCCACCCCAAAGAGCCCTCAGGGCTGTGCCCACCTCCACCCATTACCTGGAGAGAGAAAGCTATGTAGATGGCAACAGAGCCAGTGACCGTGCCCAGGCCTAGGAAGGTGCCCGATTCACTGCAACAAACAATAAAATGCTCACTGTCCTGGAGTCTGTGCATCAACAACAGTCCTCAGGGACTCAGGCAGCACGTCTCCCTGAGCTCCCCCTGGTCCCCCCATACCCAGCCAAGCCACCACTGTCTCACACCTGACGCTAAGGCAGGAGATGACTTCATGGCCACAGGACTTGGTCCGAAGGGGCAAGAACGTGGAGCCATCCCAGGCTGTAAGGTAGCAGGGCGGGGGCTGGCGCAGACGCTTGTGGGGAATCTGCACCGTGAAGAGTCGCAGCCCAGCAGGCTGGTCTGGAACCTGCCCAAACCTGGGGGCCGGGCGAGAAGCTGTTCAGCTCCTGGGGCCTGCCCAACCCTCCTCAGAGGTGTGTGTCCTCCTGCACCCTGGTGAGGCCTAGGGTAACACCCGACAGGGCTCCGACCCTCCCCAGCTTCCCCCCAGTCTCCTCCCACTCCCCCACATCTAGGCTGTGCCTCTCTCAGCCACCCTCTGGGGTCTTCACACCTGCAGGCCTGGTAGCGGTAAGGCGTGTTAGAAAAGGTGGGTCCGTTCTCTTGCCAGTGCAGCTGTGTCACCAGCTGATCCTTCTGCCACACGGAGGCCTTAAGGTCCCAGCCCACAGTTACCAACTAGTCAGGAATCAAGATTCCAAGGATGGACGGTTAGGGGATCCACTTACTGGGCAAGCAGCGTAATCACCTACTTTCTCCACCCTCTCAACTCCTCACCTTGCCATCAGGCCCCAAAGCCAGGTCCTCAATCTCCCCTTCGTGGGCTTTGAACTCCAGAACTTTCTCCAAGGTGGGTACCTGCAGCCAAACCACCACCATAGTTAGCCTAGGTACCCGGCAAGAGCGCAGTGATACTCACCCCTCTTCTCTACTAATGGCCGCTCAGTGCAGGCTTCACTCAAAAGTTCCCCAGAACCCATGTTCAGTTTCTCACAATTCTGGCCTCACTGCTACTGACACTCATCCTCTAACCTCCCAAAACCACACCTTCCAGACACGAACGTAGCCATCCGTCCCTCCAGTGGCAAGCAGGGTACTATCATGGTTGAAGCATACAACTTTCTGCAGTGGATCAGGGCTGAAGTCTGTCTGCACCGCCTGCAAATTCTCTACGCTGAATTCTATCTCCTCCTGGTGGGTTTCGGCTCCAGACTTCTCTGCTGGGGCAGCCCCTTTCCTTTGTCGAGGCCCCTGCTCCTTGGAACCTGCAACACAAACAGCCTGCCAGGTTCCAGGTTTCTCAAGTAAGTAGTACTGGCCCCCTCTCTAGAGGCGAACATCGAGCTTCTCGCCTGCTACCATAACCCCACTTCCAGCCCCACTTCGTCAGAGACCAAGATGAGAGAGATGTTACTTATTTAACCCTCTTCCCAAAGCTAGAGAGGGGGCTCTCACCTGCCTTGCCTGCCTTGTTTATGCTCTTCTGCTGATGGATCTGGAAGCGCAGGAGCTGACAGTGGGCATCCTGCCCCGCTGCAAGGATGTTACCAGCCAGCGCCAAGTTCATGGTGGCCCGCGTCTCTGTGTCATGGGAGTGTAGTAAGGAGGCGCTAAGGCGCCCATTAATCTGCTCCAGTTGCAGAAAGTGCTGTGGCAGAGGGAACCAGGATGAGGTTCAGAGAGCACCTCAAGGGCAAACTTACATCCTACAGTCTGATGCCCTACCCCTTTGCTAACTACACTTTCTAGTTTAAAAGACTTTTTGCAATCTTTTTTCTTTTTTGAGCCTCACGGATCTGTACAGGAAGCAAGGCTCTAGTTTGCAGAACAATGTGATGACGCTCAGAAGAGGGAAGAAACCTAGCTTATATTTCACTCGCCGCTGCTACTAGTCTGGCAGACAAGTCTATGTGGCCTCCCTGGAAAAAGCCAGGATAAGACCCCTGGTGCTAATCCTGAGGTCGAACTGAAGCGTTCGTGCCTAGGTAGCGCTGTGTGCAGTTTTCACTTTACCTTAGGAGCCTCTCAATTGACCGGTGAGTTCTCGACTGAAATTCGCGCCGGGACGCCCGGCATGCCGGGGTTCCCACCCGGGAGGGGCCGGGTCCGAAGCAGGGGTGCGGCCCGCCCCCAGGCCCTTCCAGAATCGCCCTCAGCCCGTGGCGCGACCCGGCCCCAGGGGCACTGTACTCACCACGGCGTTCTTTATGCCGGTCTTGGCGGCGCCTCCTCCGCCCGCAGCGATGAGCAGCCCAGCGCTGGGGTCGACCTGAAGCGCGTACAACGGGAACGGGGCCCGGTACAGCTCTGGCGCCCGGCGCCGACCCATCCCGCTCGCCCCGCGCTTCACTGTCTGCGCCGAGGCACCGGGGACATGCCGCCCGGCCTTCGACTGCTGCTCCGGTCGCTGTTGACCTTGGTCCGGTCGCCGCCGGGAGGACTCCAGACCCCTCTCACAGCCGCCGGGTTGCAGAAACTGTAACTACACACAAGGCTTCCTATCACTGCCGCGGGCCGCCTAACCCGGTCCCGCAGACGCGCAAGGCGCAGGCGCACCGAGCCCCGCACTCCTCGCGCAGGCGCAGAGCCGACAATACGCGTCAGCACTAGCCGGCCGCGGGCAGGCGGAGCCCCAGCTCCAGGACGCCGTTCTCCGCCCGCTTTTGAAGGCAGACTCCGCCATCTTTTTGCGGGGCGTTGGGGGGCGCGCACCAGCTTCAAGGAAATGTCTTGTTCTGCAGGAGCGGGGTGGGTGGGGGCGGAGACAGGCTGTGCTAATAAAGGTTAAGGGAGGTTAATAAGCCTTTAATAAAGAAATCCGTGGATTAGGACCGTCCACACGTCAGGAGTGATACGCAGACTCGTCGAGCGCGGCCTTTAGGTTTACCCCAGAGACGAAGTGATTTATCCAAGGTCTGCCTCGCACCCCACCCTCCTGAGGGGGCCCTTGGATTTCTGATCTCCAACGTGAGGACCCCGTGTTTCTCTGCAGTGAACGCTAGGCTTGCCCTTGCCTGCAAGGAGACATGTCCTGCTGCTCCCCTGGCCTTGTCAGCATGAGTCCTTTTAATCTTAAGGTGCAGCCAGAGGAAGGGGCCCAGTGGCTTCATCTCTGGGGCTGCCATTATCTGTCCCAACAAATCGAATTAAGTGGGTGAAGGGCCTGGCAGAGCCCTCTGAACATCTCAGATGCTCAGGGCTTAGGGGTCCCTTGCCCTTCCCAGATGTACGGCACTCACCCCCCTTGGTCATTCTGTTTCCTTTGACTCTCCTCCACCCCTTGTTGGGTTCTGGTCACCCCGAAGGTACAGCCACCCACAGGATCTGCTCAGCAAGACACAAACACAAGTTTTGCAGGGTCAGGCTTTATTGGATACACTGAAGGCTGAGTGGGGCCTCGGGTGCCCTTGGTCCTCTTCAGCCAGGAGAAAGCAGACTCCACAAGGGGCTCCCAGGGTTCAGGGCTGGAGAACATAGCTGACCTCCAGCCAGCTAGCCCTTCAGAGTGTCTCGGGGGCTCCCTGAGATCTGGGGCCGGGCAGGGATGGTGAGGTTCGGAGGAGGTGCTCCGGGGAGCCTCCGTGGCTCTGGCACTAGAGTGGTGACTTTCAGGGAATGGGCTCTGGAGAGGCAGGCCTCTTTGAGGCAGAGGGAGGTCTGGGCTTCAGGGAGACAGTGGCCTGTTTTGGTGCCTGAGGCTGAGACCCTGAACAGCACATGGAGTTTGGTGATTGAGGGCCTACAGACCTCAGGCTCCCGTTCTGGGAGGGGGTGCCTGGGCCTAGATCTGCCTGGGCCTGAGCTGCTGGGGCTTGAGATCCCTGGGCTTGACACCCACAGGCCTGAGCAGCCTCTCCCCGAGGCCCTACTTCCTCCGGCCTTCTTTCTGGCAACAGGTGCAAGACCCTGGCCTGGCGCCGAGGCAGGCGGAGGCCAAAGCCAATGCCGATGCGCAGTGGTCCGGATTCCTGGCCCTGCGCACAGGGCAGTAGTTGGGGGAAAGCAAGCAGCCTGGGTCCAGTCCTGTACTTGGGGATAGGGCAAGAGGGGCCGCGGGGCCGGAGACACACCAGACAGACAGGATACTCCACGACCGGGGCCTTGCCGGTTTTGCCTTGCCACAGGCGCTGCAAAAGCAGTAGCCGCAGGTCGTGGGCGATACGGCGGTGCCCCAGATGAACCACCAGGGCCTGGGCCAGGGCTCCTGGGTCCCTGAACTCTGCAGGGTCCCTCTCGCTTGCTACGCATCCCCCCTCCCCCACAGGGGACCCGGTGTTCCTGTGCTGCTGCGAGTGCCATGTCTGGCTGTTAGAGTGAACCCCACGAGAAGGTAGACTGGGGCTTGGGGAGGTGAGAGTGGAGCTCTGTACGTCTTCGGGGTGGGAAGGAGACTGGCGACGTGAGCTCAGGAGAGAGGAGTTCTGTGGCTGAGAGGGAGAAGAGGAGTGAGCGAGGGTAGAACATGGGTATAGCCAGTGGGAGGGTGGGGGGAGAGAGAGGCAATTCTGATGAAAGAAAGAAGGGGAACTTGGGAGATAAGAGCAGGGATGTAGGAGAAAGTCCGAATTTGAGTCCGAAGAGTAGAAATGGGAGCCTGCAGAGGGGGACCGTGGGGGAAGACAGCAAGGTGGGTGGGTGGGGCAGAGTGATTGTTGCGGAGGTTGAGGCCGAAGGTTGCGGGGAAGGGAGTCCACAATTTGTGAGTGGCCCCGAGGGGGGCGCCCAGGGGGTGCTGCATTCTGTAGCAGCACTTGGTCCTTGTTTTGAGGCAACATTGCCTTGAATCCAGAGGAGAGTGGAGTGTCAAGCCCACAGATTAGAGATCTAGCAGAGGCAGGACCAGTATCTCTGGGGCCTGCCCCAGTGGCTGAGAAATCAAGGCCCTCTGTGCACAGAATGTGGCTCCAGCCTGGTGTTGGTAGGACTGTTGGTGGCAAGCCAAGGAGACACCCAGCCCTGGAGCACCAGCTTCTCTGGGTGTTCAGACGGGAGTTTGGCTCTAAACTTGCCTTCTCACTTCTTTGCAGTGGGCCAGTGATGAGGGATGGAGGGGATGGAGAATCAGGACTGACTCTTGGGAGCTGAACGACAGCAGAAGTTATCTGGGTGGGCCAGGGAGGAAGACACAGCCCATAGGATCTGTAGAGAAAGAAACAGAGCCCAAGATATTGGGAGACTGGGTCCATTTCTGGCTCTGGCTTATGTACCATGCAGGCTGGTTCACCAAGGCCCTAAATCCATGTCACCCTGGGGTCAGAAGAGCTGGCAAAAAGCTCCAGAGAAGGTAAGAGCTAAGGAGGACAGGAGTAGGGAAGGAGGGTAGGATGGATAGGATGGAGTTAGATAGAGGAAGGGGCTTGGGAGATGGGGACTGAGATGGGACTAGGAATTGAGGGTGTTCTGGTGCTGTGAGCTCTTACCAATGAGGGTTCCTCTGGGCTGTGTTTCTCAAGGCACTTCAGTGATGTGGGACCTGGGAGAGAGAGGAACAGAGTCAACAAAGGGTGGGTATGCCCCTCTCTGCCCCCAGCATCTATCCCCCAAAACTCAGTCTGACCAAGAGTTCTGTCTGAGCCTTGCCCTCGGTCCTCCTTCAGCCAGGCGGAGGTCTTCTGTTACCAGGTTTTTGTTCTCCTAAACCTGAATCAGAGATTCTGCAAGCATCCTGGTTTCCTGGCACTCTGGTTGCCCTAATCCCGGTCTTCCCTAATGCTGATGTCCTCTGGCTCAGTCTGGCCCCAGCCGAGATGGCTTTTCACGCTCAGTAGCAGCAGTGGCAGTGGGGCTAGCTGGTGAAAGCCTCTGGGAGGTGGGCACTTTGTCCCAGCAGCCCTCGGGATCTGGGAGCTGGGAGCCCCTTTTCCTGGGGCAGTTGTCCCTGGCATCTAGTGCCTATGTCACAGAGGTCGGGGGCTGACATCATAGACTCTCCTCTTCAAGGCTCTAGGACCTTCTCTCAGAGATCATCCACAGGCTGGCCCTTGATAAAACTGAAGCAAGCAAAATTCTTTGGGGCATTCTGTCTCTCCTTCAGGGCCTAGCCCCCACCTCTGCTCTCTGCCCATATACTTTACAGTTCCCACCACCTCCTCCATCCAGGCTTCTCCCCAGCTGTACAGCCTATCTGGGCTGGACCCTCCCTTCAACTTCTTGTTTTCTTTGCTTTCTGAGCAGTGGTTCCTGCTCCACACCTTTCCCCCGCTTGGGATAATGCTTATAGGTTTGCTTTTTTTTTTTTTAATCAGTTATGTTCTATAATTTTTTAGCTTTACTGAGGTATAATTCACAACTAAAATTGTAACACCTTCAAAGTGTACATAGTAAATTCTCCCTTACTCCACCTTTTCGTTCTATTCAGGCTTTCCATGAATTGGACAAGGCCCACCCTTGGAAGGGCAATCTGCTTGCTCAGTCTACTGATTCAGATGTAATCTCATCTAGAAACACCCTCGCAGACACACCCAGAATAATGTTTAACCAAATATCGGGGCACCCCTTGGCCCAGTTGACACATAAAATTAACCGTCACAGTATACAAGTGAAAGATGAGATGCCTTTCCAAGGATCTATGATGCCTAGATTAAATGAGGCTTTGCCCATATCAATATTTCCAATTGTCTCCTTTTTTTGGTGCCCTGGAGTTTTTTTCACCCCACGACTAGTCATCATAATAAAATTAGGACTGAGTAAGATGTACAGTTAGTATAAAGTGAGAGAAGGGTTCTTATGAAGAGGTCAGTGGTGGGAAAGCAGAACCAGGCAAAACCGCAGTCATATCAGTTTTAGGAAGGAGCGAATATGGAGGCTGAGATCCAGCCTTAGGGACTGAGGGCTTCCTGGGATGCCAGACTTTCAGTGCTAAAACCAAAACAGTCCTAGATAAAACAAAACTAAACCCTAGAACTTGAGTCCTCTTGGAAAAGATTCATGTTCCCCTAGGGTATGAGGATCCCCGTTTGAAGACTACTGTTCTAACAAAAAATTTCTATAGTAACTTCAATTTACACTAACCACTCTCTCCCTTATTTTGTGTTAATTACTATAGGCTTAGTAAAACTCTACTGACCAAGCAAATGGTCTAAGCATTTGGCATCCAAGTTGGAAACATGATATTTTCTTTTTTTTTTTTTTTTTTTTTTTTTTTGCGTTATGCGGGCCTCTCACTGTTGTGGCCTCTCCCATTTGCAGAGCACAGGCTCCGGACGCGCAGGCTCAGTGGCCATGGCTCACGGGCCCAGCCGCTCCGCGGCATGTGGGATCTTCCCGAAACGGGGCACGAACCCGCGTCCCCTGCATCGGCAGGCGGACTCTCAAGCACTGCGCCACCAGGGAAGCCCGGAAACATGATATTTTAATGCAGTTGTTTTCTTGTTTGCTAGTTGTTTCCTATTGTACATGTTATTTAACACACACTTTAACCACCCCCCTCTACTCCAACGGTGGGCAAGAACACTGTGTTCTATTTCTTTCAAATGCTCTATAGCATATGCTCTTTCCAGATCTCCACCAATGTTTGTTGAGAGGATGAATGAATGAATAATTGATAGTTATCTAAGAGAATTTGACCTTTGCACTTTGCTTTTTCTATTCCTTTCTTTTCTGTGTGGGCCCTACATTATTGCATGGTAGGAAGTGGAAGGAAGGGGCTGCTTCCAGAACTACCTGAGTATATTCTCGGAGAAATCATGATTATGAGAGAGGTGTCAGAAAACAGAGATAGGTAAATATTCAAAAAGGGAAAAGCGATAAATTCTAGAATCTCAAATCAGTCAGTTTCTGGTTGCTTGCCAGGAAAATTTTAAACTGAATTATTGACAGAATGTATATAAGCTCTTAGAAAGGAAATGGATGATCACAATGGCCAGAGTGGGTTCAAGTAAAACAACTTGTAGAGAACATACAGCCGTCCAGAAGTGGCATATATATCGTGTCATCAGGGAAGGCAGTTATATCTAACCTTTCACTTTCTAGGATAAGAAGTGTGCTCTTGACCATGCCAACTAAAACACACATCCTGAGGTAAGTGCCAGAATGCCAATTTATAAATTTACCCTAGGGACTTCCCTGGTGGTCCAGTGGTTAAGGATCCACCTTCCAATGCAGGGGGCTTGGGTTCCATCCCTGGTCGGGGAACTAAGATCCCACATGCCGCGGGGCAACTAAGCCCGTGTGCCACAACTACTGAGCCCGCGCACTGCAACTAGAGAGCCTGTGCACCACAGCTAGAGAGTCTGCACGCCACGACTAGAGAGAAGCCTGCGCACTGCAACGAAAAGCCTGCGTGCAGCAACTAAGACCCGATGCAGCCAAATAAATAAATATTTAAATATATATATATAAATTTAAAAAAATAAATTACCCTAAAAATGTAGCTCACACGGACAGGAAATAATTAGCATATTCTCTCTCTATAGTCTATTTGGGAAGTCAAAATGTAATCAGAATCCACAAAATTGATTTACCATGAGAAATCATAGTTGCAGGGATTGACTTACTGCTTTCAACATCACCAATATTCTCAAATCATGTAGACAGAACTGCCTGGGGGTCAGAAATGCTTGTTTCAGAACAAGGAAAGTTGGGCAAACTAATAAATTGATTGCCTGATAGCAGGAAGCTAAGAGGTTAGTTTCGTGCATCTCAATAGAAATACTCAAAGTCTGTTGGGTAAAGCTCTATCTTTTCTGACCAATGCTGGGAGGAGTATTATCAGGTTTGTCTCTGTGACTCTTCTTTTCTTACTCTTCCAAAGTTGATGGACACATTCTCTCAAACTAGCTACTACGGAGACTTGCTAGATGGGAATTGAAATGTGCACACCTGTGTTCTGACCCACTGTGCGTTGCTTTTGCAGTTCAGCAGTGCAATTTGCCTTATCCTCAAGTGCTTGTTTGTATCTAAATATAGTCCTTAAGTACTTACCACATAACATTTCCCACATTACTCTTATTTCCTACTTTGTAAATGAGTTTTCAAAGGAATTATAATAATCCCCATGTATATTGATTTCATCAAGGTTTTGACAGAGTGTTGTGGTGGAAAAATGTGAGCCAGCCAGTTGAACCATTATTGCTTTTTTGCCTTTTAACTCTTCTTGTTCTTTGAAGTATACAAATAATGCACAAATAAATTCCATTATACAAAATCCTAACAATACATACGTATACAGAGTAAAATTTAAAAGTTGTCCTTGACAGTCTTCCTATCTTTACTCTCTCCAGGGATGTCCACTGTTTGTCCTCGACTTTTGTATATATTTAATATTTGAGTTTATTAATTATAATTCAGTATCTCTGCTTATGTATCTCTGTTTAATCTATCAGTTTCTGAAAGAGGTGTGCTAAAATCAACTATTAATTGTTGATTTGTATATTTCTTCTTGCATTTCTGTTAATTGTTGGTTGATGGATTTTTGAGGCTGTGTTATTAGGTGCAAAAATATGTTTATAATGATTAAGTCTTCTTGTTCTGTTGTTCCTCTTATCATTTAGCAAATCACACAACCCAGCTTTCTTCTCCAGAAGTTGGAAAATGAACATTAGGGCAAAACTGAAGAAATGAGAAGGAAGAAAATAAAAATGATAAGGCTAAAAGTTAGTGAAATGGAGACTTTAAAAGAATAGGGATTCACACTCATTGGGATGGCAATTATAAAACAAAAACAAGATAGAAAATGATAAGTATTGCAGAGGATGTGGAGAAATTGGAACTCTTGTGCACTGCTGGTCGTAATGTAAAGCGGTGTAGTTACTATGAAAAACAGTACAGCAGTTCC